AATTCTGCCAATAACCACTATTTTTATCCATGATTTATTCTCACTGTCCTCACTTTCTACTTTATGATCACATCTCCTAGCATGCATTGCAGAAATCTGAAGAATTCAAAGTGAGTTGTTACTTCACATCTCTACAATATTTTTAATATATTTCCTGGAAATAACTATTGTACCTGGAGAGATGAGTTCAGTGTATGACTATCAGTGGGAATTTCTGGGGAAGGGGGGCAGACCTTGCCATGTCTTGGAGGTTTAGATGGCAGATGATGTATCATCAGAGGTTAGGAGTCTTTTGTAGCAAATTTATTTCTCTACCAGTGAAATGGAAAGGATGATCAGAAGCAGTTATCCTTTGTCAAGACACAGACTCACTTTATACTCTGTACCTAAGAAGGCAAAAACTCATTCAGACCCTTTTTATCACCCTTGAAGTGAGGATACAAGCAGGTCCATAATTTTATCATCGAGTACATCTAACAGACCAAGGGCATCCATCTCATTGCACCAAACTACTTAGAGGCAAAACCTGGACTTCGTTCATTAACATTTAACTTTCCTATTAGGTTTTGTTTTTTTTTTTTTTTTTTGAGGGATGTAGGGGCTGGTGGGGAAGGGGTGAGGAACACAGCAATATAGACTCCAGTTTCTTTTGTCTTTCCTTTCAAGGGAATAAAAATGTAGAAAGAGAGAAGGGGAGGATAATTTGCTAAAACTACTGTGAAGATAAATAGTATCAGGATGTTAATGACTAACTAGATTAAATTTTAAAGCTAAATATAGTAAGAGCTAGGAGGAACAACTCACTTGCTCCTGTATATCATTAAGTAAAACAAACACAAACCTGTGAAGCACAGGTTACCAGGAGATCATTCCCCTTTTCCCACAGTGTAAAGCCTATGTTGTTTCAACACAAACAGCTGCACTGAGATCCAGAGAAAGGTCTGTGAAGCATAGCTTGTAGGAAGGGAAAAAATGGTAGAAATCATCAGAGTCAGGAACCCAAGAATGTAACAAAGTGATCATACGTGAGTGACTGCCAAACATAAGACACACCCAATCTAGGCAAAGAGCATATTCAGAAAAGGTATGAGGTAGAGGCTGGTATAGTCAGTCTAATGCAAAAGTCTTCAAGAAAATCCAGCAGTGTGGAATCTAACATTCTGATCAAGAAGGCCTAAGTCAGAGGACTGGCCTTGCCTCTTAGTAGCTGGGTTCATGTCACTTTTTAACATTCTGTGATTATCTTCTCATTTGCAAATTGGATAATAGTAATTACAGAACCGTTTTCTTTCTGGGAGATAAAATATATACATAGGTCTAATACAACGCCTGGCCCTGAGGAGGAGCAGTATATAATATGCCCACTATGAAGGAGGTGGGATTTGAACTGGGTCTTTAAAGATGGGGACGATACAAATAGGATGAGAACAGCAGTTGGCAGGGGGAAATATTTCAAATATTGGAAACATGAAGAAATAGCAAAAGAAAAGAAAAGAGGCAGTGCAAGACATTTTGTAGACTGAACAGAAAAGTTTATGTAAAAGGAAGAAAGAAATAAAGAAAATGAGGAAAGGGAGAAAGCTGAAGCCAATTTTGAGTGGCCCACTCCTACTAAGGAGTCTGGACTCTCCTTAAAGGAGATAACCCCTAAGGAGAATTCAAATCCCCAGACACAAATGAACTCCTCAGAAATGAAAACGTCCCCCTATTTGTGAAAGAGTGCTATGTGTAGGCTCAAATATAGGAGAGGATGGGGAGAGAGGCATGAGGACACTAGAAACTGAATTGTGGAAATATAACAGCCTCATTTAAAAACATTTTAAATGAATCAACTTGTCCTTAATGGGTATACAGGCATACAACACAAAGATCCCCCACCTCTTCCCCTCAATGTGAACATCCCAGGATAATAAAAGTTAACCGATAAAATAGACTTTTAAATATTGCAACTGGTAAGAGTTAATTCAAAAATTCATTTGGGGGAATCCATACTCTCATTCCAACTTACTATAAACACATGCACAGATGATATGTCTTGAGAGAGAGGGAAAAAGAGAGAGAGAGAGACAGAGAGAGAGAGAGAGAGAAACTAGAGATTTTCTTCTGCAAATCACAATGAATGAGTCAGAAAAAAACTTTCCCAAAGCTTTTGTCCTCATAGCTAAAGAGGCTGGCTGGGACATTTACTAACAGCACTGGGGGAATCAACATTCCGTTGCTTGGTGATTCATCCTCCTCCAGGGATGCAGTCTGAAGAAGGAGTTCATGGGGCTACCCTTGGGAGTCACTCTGAATTATTTTTGTAACAGCTTGTCCTTGGATAAAAGGGAACACAAAATCAGAAATAGAAGGCCAGGAGGTCATCTATTACTTAGTGGAGTTGTTTTTGAAGCCATTTCCCCCTACTATCCAGAATTCAGTGTTCTGGATAACTAACAGACATAAGGTACCCACGTTTCCAGGGATTGGAATAAGGCTGAATGCAAAAAATTCAGGCTGAACAAAGCTTTATCTGCCTTTGATAATTCAGAAAATCCTATCAAACGTTTTCAAGACTTAGAATCATTACTTTCAATAGTTTCATTTTACAAATCTGTGCTAACAGGATGGGTGGGGGATAATTCAATCAGTGTAACTTGCACAAAGAAGTTCCCTTGTACAATCATCCATTTAAAGGGCATTAATGTTTTATCACGGAGCTCTCTGGCATGTATCCAGCCAGGTGCTCCCTGAATATTTCTGGTTTTGGCCAGAAGAACAATGTTTGCCGAGGGCATTGCAGCTGTACACATAGCTTAGCAAGTAGCAAAAATGCAGCACGAACCAGGTTCTCAAATGCCAAATCTCATGGATACCACACCATACCAAAATAAATATTAATGAAGGAAACTTTTAGCCTTTCTCCAAATGAATGCAAAATGAAATTGGCTTAATGTTCATAACCATTAACTAATCAAAATCAATAAACACAAAATCGCTAAATACAATTATATGCTATTTACGGAGTACAAAGCACTTTCAATACAAGATCTCCATTAATTCTCACAATAATTTTAAGTATCATTCCTTTTATTTTTCTCATAAGCATCCTAAACACTGGAGTTACTAGACGGCTTCAGAATGTTTACTTGTATTTATTAACTGAGACCCAAATTCAAGTCATTGAGAAGGCAAAGAAAATTAAACAACTAAAAAAAGAAAAAAGTCAATGCCATTTTTTGTCTAGCTAATCCATAAGGGTAGTATAGTGGCTGTCAAATGTAGATATATGCCTGAAATAGGCAGAAGTAAAAAATGTCATCTTCAAACAATGAAAGTTATTCAGACTCATGATAATAAAACTATCCAATCAATATACCAAGATATCAACATAAAAAAGCAAAAGTTCCCCTCCCTATGACCCAGAAATAATCACTATTCAGTTTTTTTGTGCAACCTTCCTTGAGGACAATTTGGACCCTGTTTTGATTCAGGAACCCCATGATAAATTAATGGAAAAAGCAGGTTACAAAATAGTATGCAGAGGATGATCCTAGCTATGTTGCATCAATACATGCATATGAAGCCAGAGATCATAAAGATGGAGGATGAAGACAATACAAGAAAAATTACCTTGTTAACAATTATCTCAGTGCTGTGTGACTGATTGGCATACTTTTATAACAACTACAAGTAACTATTCTAACCAGGAGAGGAAAGCCCCAGGTTACACAGGGATTTAGGACTGGGATCAAGGTTTTGGGAGAACCAATTCAGGAGAGTTGATTCCTCATCCACTAAACCAGCATATCAATATATCACTCTGCTAGCTGTAATTTCAAAATAGTTAAAGAGTTACTAAAAACCCAAAGCAATCAAGAAATGTGACATGGCAAACATAATTACTAGCTAATGACTAACAGATATTAAGTGCTAAGACTTCAGAGGAGAAAAAGATCATTCTGGGGCCTCCCCGGTGGCGCAGTGGTTGAGCGCTGGGTTGCGAAGCTGCCCGTGGCCTCTGCGGCGCCGGTTCGATCCCCGGCTGATCCCCTGCCACCAGAGGAGGGTCCCACATGGCGCGCAGACCTCTCCTGCCTCCCGCTGCTCCCCTCAGCAGTGTACTTCGGTCCTTCTGCCTGCTCTGCTCCCCGCTCTAGCTCTGGTGAATCCTCTCACCCTCCCACACTTCTGACTGTACCCAGTGCTTGTATAAACAAAACAAACAAACAAACAAATAAATAAAAACATGCCTCTATTAAAAAAAAAAGAAAAAAAAAAGATCATTCTAGTACATAATGTTTCCAAATACTTCATAAATCAGAGATTTGGGCAAATACAGAGGATTGTCAACCAGTTGATGAGAGCTGAAGTACAATGCTCCACCCCATCACTTGTTCTCTCAACACAGAGTTATTGAAAAACTTATGTACTAGGTCCTATGAAAGGGCCTACGACATAGCATGAACACTGGGTGATACAAAGTGCATTTCTTCACAGATTTTATTATTGTTGCATTGTGTTATCTCTTGTTAGGAGCCTTGAGAACATTTAAGTGGTGGGAAGGAAAGAATCTAAAAGATGAAGGTGAAGGTATGAGAGGGGAAAGGATGGTCAGAAGATGATGAGAAGGGATGGGCAACAGAACCTCCATCACCAGTTATGAGGGAGTAGCAGAGGCTGACAGTTGTATGTCATTATCATTTCAGTGCTTCAGTTCCCTACTTCAACACTGCACACAGATGTTTGCTACAAAGATTGCTGGCCTTCCTCACACAAAGAGGAGGCTATGTGAATAAGTTCTGGCCAATGGTAAGAAACAAAATGTTGTGTGACAGCTTCGTTCCAAGAGATTAGAATAGAGATTTTGTCCCTTTTCCTTAATTCTTTCTAGAAATGTGTATGCAACCTCTGAAACTGTTTAAGGTGAGCTTCTATTATGAATGGAATACTGATATATAGAAAGACTAAGCAGAGGATAAGAGATCTAGCAGTTAAGTGTACAGTTTAAAGTCACACACCTGGGTCCTAATTCCAGCTTCTCACTCAGTAGGTATGTCAAGTTAGACAACTGGCCGCAGTTCCTTTATCTATGTGATGGACTTCAATAAATGGTGTTGGGAAAACTGGACATCCACCTGCAAAAGAATGAAATTGGACTAATTCTTATACTATACACAAAATTAACTCAATATGAATAAAAGACCTGAAACCATAAAAAAAACAGAAAACATAGGCAGTAAGCTCCTTGACATCAGTCTTGGCAATGATTTTTTTTTTATTTACACCAAAAGCAAAAATAAACAAGCAGGACTACATTGAACTGAAAAACTTCTTATAGCATTCACAAAATGACAAGGCACCTACTACCAAATGGGGAAAAATATTTGCAAATCATGTATCTGATGGGTGGGGGGTAAATATTCAAAATATAAAGAACTAATTTAAACACATACAAACACACCCATTTTTAAAAAAGGGAAGAAAAGCTGAAGAGACTTTTTTCCCAAAGTACACAAGCAGATGACCAACAGGTACGTGAAAAGGAGCTCACCACATCACTAATCCTTTGGGAAATGTAAACTAAAACCACAATGAGATCACCTCACTCCTTTTAGAATGGCTCTTATCAAAAAAGACAAGGTAAGTGTTATCGAGGGGTTCCAGAACAGGGAATCCTTGTGCACTGCTGGTGGGATATAAATTTATGCAGTCACTATAGTAAATAGTATGGAAGTTCCTCAAAAAAATATATTACCATATGATCCAGCAATACATCTGGGTATTTATCCAAGGGAAATAAGACACTAACTCAAAAATATACCACACCCCTAATGATCCAACAGTTATAATAGCCAAGACAGAAAACAACATAAGTATATCAATAGACAAATGGATTTTTAAAGTATGGTATTTATACACAATGAAATTTCTGAACAATAAAAAGGAAAACCCTGACATTTGCAACAATGTGAATGGATCTGGAGGACATTATGTAATTGAGATAAATCAGGGAGAGAAGAAAAAATCTGTATGATCTCACTTAAATGTGGAATCTAGAAAAAACAGCTCAGATACAGAGAACAGACTGGTGGTTGCAGGGAAGGGGTGCAGTAAAAGGGGTAAAGGTGATCCAAAAGGTACAAACTTCCAGTTATAAAATAAACAAGTAATGAGGATATAATGTATAGCATGGTGACTTTAGTTAACAATATTTTATCATATTTGAAAGCTGCTAAGAGTGAATCTTGAAAGTTCTCAACATAAGAAAAAATGATTATATGTGGAAATGGATGCCATAAATTCACTGTGGTAATGACTTTGCAATATATGTGAATATCAAAACATTATGTTGTAGGGGCCTCCCTGGTGGTGCAAGGAGTTAAGCACCACACTATGAAGCAATCCGCAGCCTCTGCAGCACAAGTTCCATACCAGCCAGCCAGGGAGCAACCCACATGGCAAAGCAGACCTATCCTGACTCACCTGCTGCTCCCCTCAGCAGTGCACTTCGGTCAATCTGCCTGTTCTATTCCCCACTCTATCTCTGGTGAGTCCTCTCACCCCCTGCATCTCTGGCCTGTACCCCAGCTCTTGTATGCATAAATAAACAAATCTTTAAAAAAAAAAACATTAAGTTGTAAACCTAAAATTAATAAGGCACCTCCCTGGTGGCCTAGGGCCTAGAGGTTAAGTCTCAGTGTGATCACCGCTATCACCTCTATGGCCTCAGTTCAATCCCCATCAGGGAGCTAACCCACACATGGCACAGCAGACCTCTCCTTTCCCTACTCTGTCTCTGGTGAATCATCTATCCCCCCACAACTTTGGCCTAAACCCCAGTTCTTCTACATACAAAGAAAATAAAACTAATACAAAGTTGTGTGTGTATGTTAATTATATCAAATGAAAGAGTAAAGAAAAAATCTACATAGACCTGATTAAGAAGGTCTAAAGGAAGCAACATGTTAGAAGTGTATTAAAAGAAAAAAAAAAATTTTAAGGGAATAAAAGTTTGCAGGAAATCAAAAATTAAATGGAAACGATAAAGCTCTTATCTCCTAGTAGTGGCAGTATCATAAAGCCTTTGCCAGAGATAAAAAGGACTATGTGGTTACTACCATATCCCTGAATGATACCTTTTGTCACAAAAGTTATGGAGGAACAACCCATTTGTGTTCTATCAAAATCTGACTCAGGGTAACAAGTCAAGTCCCATAAATACATCCCCATCCTACAGATTATTTCAAGCAAAATCTAATTTGGGTTCTTTTCTGGGGATATCCCATGCACTTGGGAAAGTCACCCACTTGATTACAAGCTCCTGGAGGGCAAGAATAAGGTCTTTTCTTCTTCACAGCCTCAAGGCATCAGCAGCACTGTGCTCTGAAACTAAGAGGTATTATGTTCATTCAATAACTTACTGAGATGCTACTATGGGTCCAGGTACTACACTAGGTGATACGGTTATGAGGAACAAAAAACAAAACAAACAAAAAAAGATTCTTTAACACAGAAACATATCTGACTTTTTAAATGTTGATTTAATTAATGAATCTGAACTAGAAAATATTATAGCCAGTAGTAACAGCAGTGACTGGTTCAACCTAGTAATATAAGTGTGAACAAAGACCAGAAGTTAATGGCCAAGTTTAACTAAATGTAAGGGTTACATTAAATCACTATTCCCAAACTGTTTTCTGGAATCGTGTATTTCTGTGCAGTGATAAAAACTGTTCTATACACAGACTACTCCTTTCCATTCATTCAATTACTTAAATATTCTCTTCCCCTCCTACTCTGTCTTCCTCTTTCTTTCCGTCCCTTTCCCTCTATTTTCTCACATCCTAAAATTGGGCAGATGCAAGCATAGGAATAAAATGTAGATTTCAGTTTAATCAGAGCAGATTTAAAAGATACTCACATAAAAGTGGAAGAGAGCAGGACATTTTTGCAATTTCACCTCAAGCAGGTGTTCTAAAAGGTAATGCCTGAGAAAAATTATATTTCCCTATTACTCAGTAACCCTAACACCTGGGGAAGGTTCTAGCAATTCTGAGAGTATGGGCACAAAGAAAATAATGGGGGGAGGGCCTCCCCTGGTGGCGCAGTGGTTGGGCGCTGGGCTGCGAAGCTGCCCGCAGCCTCTGCAGTGCCGCGCCGGTTCGATCCCCAGTCGCCGGCGAGGGTCCCACATGGCGCGACAGACCTCTCCTGCTGCGCCCACTGCTCCCCTCAGCAGTGTATTTCATCATCTGCCTGTTCTGCTCCCCGCTCTGGCTCTGGTGAATTCTCTCACCCTCCCGCACTTCTGACTGTGCCCAGTGCTTGTATAAATAAATAAATAAAATCTTTAAAAAAAAATAAAAAAATAAAAAAAAAAAGAAAATAATGGGGGGAGGGGGCGTGAAAGGAGGAAAGGTGAGGAGAGGGAAGAGGAGGGAGGTAGGAGGGGAGGAACAGAGGGAGGAATATTGCTTTCTTGATTCTTTCCACTTCACCCACTTGGTTTTCCTGTTCTCATCCCCAATCTTTTTGCAAGTCTTTTCTTTTCACCACGTGATTGAATAAGCTGTATGACACACTGGCAGCTGGCCACAGAGTCTTCCCAGAAGAGAGGCCACTTTTCAGGAAACCCTGCCTCATTTCCAGTGGAGGGAAGATGATAGGGAAGGGAGGGTACAGAGAGTGAGATGATGGCAAAACAGCTTACTAAGCAAACTAACATTCGGGAACTCAGATATCTGTTCACAGAAAAACAGACAATATCAATTGCATCCAATTTATATTTAGTGCACATGCATATTTTTCACACAAGTATATATCTCTACATATGTCAAATATCACTCTTTTGAGCATGAGAGCCCTGTTAATAGTAATGGCTTATGATCCCCCTGGTGTAGGTTTTCTTGGACTTTCTATTTCTGTTTCTTGATAAAAACAGAAATAACCATATTTAAAGTAAGTCTCCTGTAAAATTTCCCAAACATTCTCCCCCCCCAACTGTCAACATACATACACATTAAGAACCTCTGCTATATACCAAATTCATACACACATCTCACCCAAACCCATGCCAACAGATCTTCACGGAAAAATAATTTCCTTACAGGGAATTTTCAGTGTGTATTCATGTGTAATATATTATATGATCCCTATATTGAAAAAAGAGAGAGCTCAGACAGGTTCTAGAAACCTCACTTTCAACAGATGAAGCCTCCTCCATTTCCCAATCTCCAAATGTTGGTAGGCCCAAGGTCTCAGCCCTCGATCATCACCTTTTCTCTATCCACACTTCCTACCGAAACAATCACACCAAGTTGTATGGCTGAAATGTCATTTATATACTAACAATTTTCAAAGTTATAGCTCAGAACTTCTCTCTCAGATACCCAATTATTTCTTCAACATCTTTACTTGGGAGTCAACTGAACATCTAAAGTCTACATAAAGGCAATTACTTGATTGCTGCACAACAGCACACACCACCTCCTTCCTTCCCAGTGCCCACCATTCTCAGTAAACGCCGCCATTAATCACCATGTGATCAGTCTTGACACCTCTCTTTCACATACCACATCCAACTCATCACCAACTCTGTGTTAGCTTCAAAATACATCACATAGCCACCAGTTTCTCACCACTGCTACTACCCCAATTTTCAGTCACCATCATCTTTTTAATATTAGCACCAACAAGGCAGGAACAATGTCAGTTTTTTCCTCTATTGTGTTCACAATGTCTAACACACAATAAATGGTGAATAAATTCAATGAATGAATATTGGCTGAGAAAGCTGATATGGCTCACAGAGCAAGTTAATGCTGATTGCCAGGCCTTGGACCCAGATCTCCATCAGGTGTCCCCTAATATAAAATTCTTATTTGGTATGATTTGGTGGATTATTTCGGAGGTCTGGAAATGGTGTTACCACTAATATATATGGTATAACTTTTTAGCATTCCCTTTCAGCGCCTCCCGCCCCAAAAAAAACCTACCAAATCATACCAAGTAGGAACACTCTACTTGGGGGGGGGGGGGAGAGGAGAAGTGATAACCTGTATCTGTAGATAAGACTTGTTCCCACAACTCCACACTACCCTTTGGAAGTTTTAAAGGAAAAGTGATTCTACTACCT